TGGTGTGGAGAGGATGGCTAGAGGGGGAGAAGGGAGGCCATCAGAAAAAAAAAAAAGAAAAAAAGTTCTCGCTTTATTTTTACTTTTTCAGTATCCAAACAGGGGGAACCCTTGCCCTCTGCTATAAAATCCACAGTTGTAGTGCTGAGAGAAGATGGTCTACAGATAAGACCGAGTGGTTTGGAGTCCAGTCAAAGGAAAATACACAAGAAGTAGATTTCAAAAAATTACCACAGGTCTTAAGTCTATTCTAAAGTCTATGTATGTACAGCACTCTCATGGCACGCATAGAAAAAGTACACTCAACAACAACAACAACAACAAAAATTTGCTTTGGTCTGAACATTTTCTTCAATGACAGTCCTTCTTCACATCTTTGATGCAGAAGACTGGTGTACATTCTTTGGTTCGGAAATCCAAGCGTCCGATTGCTTCTCATTGAAAACTAGGGATAACTAGAAAAGATGCTTGAAAAGAGTTATTTGGGATGTAGAGAACGGGATTTTCGAATTTATTGTTGTGACCCTCGTCTAAGGTAGGATCCAAACTGAAAATTCCCTCAACTCAAGTTCTCACATTTTATGATTGCACGTTTTTGTAAAATCTCAACGGTTTGTTGTTTTCTTTTAATAGAAAGTAGAAAAGACGAATCTATTTTTGTTTCCTTTCATTCAATCCTCTAAGTGTTCCATCACTCAGGGTGTTTAGTCCATCCTTCTTCAGTGTATCTAGTCCAGGCACACAACGAGGATCTACGATCCAGGAGAACACTTCTTAGAATCAATGCATGTTCAAAAGGCACCACATCCACAGTCCCCTCCAATGTCTCCCACCGYGTGGTTTTAGAGATCCAGACGGAAGGCACCAAAGTAACTGGAGGAGTCGTCTGCGTTGACCATCGTGGGAGACGAGACGGAGACGAAGAGCTCGTCGCCAGCCCTAAGTTCGAACAGTCCTCCCTGGTAAACGGAGTGCAGGGCGTATTCGGCGTCCGGAGCCCAGCACTTGGTGCCCACACCTTTCAGGAGCTGGAAGAACGAAATGGAAAGCCAAAAAAATTAAAGTGAGGCTGTTACATAGTAGTTCCTATCATATTGATTTGGGTAAAATGTGTACCTGTATGGGGCTTGGGTAGGAGGTTTTCTTGTAGACACACTGCACCAGCTGGTGGCTGACGCTGCGCTGGTCCCCGTCACTCGATGCTGGGGACGGATACCGAAAATACACCTAGAAGAAGTCCATAGCAGAGGAGGATTAAGGTGGATGAATGTCTGTCAGTACTTTTTAGCATCCTCATTAAAAAAAACTCTGAGCTGAGCTTTTTAGAAGTGCTGGACCAGAAAACATGGAGAGAGAACACTGTTATATTTGGGGATTCAGATAAAAGACTTCTTAACCAGTTGAAGTGATTAATTTCAGAGTTCTGCAATCGGCTAAACTAACGAAATCATGACATTTTATTTAAGGAATTGATTCTGAAATTAGAACTCTATAGGTTCCGTCTAGATGTGCTTACAATTTGACAAACATCTGATTATTCGAACTTTTGAGATAAACTTATCTAAAACTGTTCAGGCTGTAACTTTGAAACTAAACTGCGCTGATGGATCACCTGGGAGTACAGGTAGTAGCGCCCGTCCTGCGGCACTCGCAGCTTCCCGTTGCTCAGGCTCATGTTGTGCAGGTGAGCGCCAAAGCTCTGGTTGGCCCACGAGCGGACCACGTGACGACAGGACTGGTGGAGACCCGGTGAGGGAATATGGGAATATGGTGAGACCCCTGATGAGGAAGAGAAGAAGAGTGTTAAAATATATAGGAAACTGCAGAAAAGACACATCATACAGTACTGATGAGAATCATCTTCACTATGGTGATACTAATTGGGATCCTTTTAATAAACAAATAAAATATGTCTAAAGCCTGTATCTCACTGGACAACAGTCATGAGAGTTTTCAAAATGTCTCAAAACCTTTGCCAGGGTTCTTAGTGTTGAAATGTTCGAAAAATTGGTGGAACAGATCAATTGAATCCCATYTTGAATCCCTTTTAATCTTCCTGCTAGCCTTAGGTCAAAATAACCCATCAGCTTTAACTCTAAGACCTTGTAGGTCATTTTGACCCAAGTACAGCTGGAGGTAAAGGTTTGGTTACCCATGAAACCAAATTAAGACTTCAATAGAGACAAAAAAATATAGCAATCAAGTTGAGACATAAGTCACTGTGTCTCAGTTCAGAGGCTGCATCCTCCATAGTGCACATTTGTAGGATGGTGCACCACAACGAAGGCTGTCCCATTTCGTTAGATCCTCCTCATGCAGCCGACAAACTAGGCCCTTAAAACCCCMAAAATGAAGGATGTGACTATCCTTTGCAGCCAACGATATCCTACGATTCACTGAACTTTCGTCCAACTTTACAGACAAAAAAAGGTCATCACAGATAAAATAATTTGTTGTTTAGCAACTTAGTTGATGAAATTTATGATGCTATGTGACGTTAAATAACCAAGTAATAATACTGGTGTGAAAAGACATTCCAACGTATTTTAAGTTTTAGGCATTTCTGGGTGATTTTGAAGAAATTTATTGGAGTTCTGTTAGTCACTGTTGTTTTTAAAAAAGCACTACACAAAAGGGTTTGTTTTTCTAGGTGATTCTGAAATGATTTTTTAAATCAATTTTGAGTGAAAACTTATTTTTATAATTAAATTGTGATAATGTTTAGTTAACGCACACCTCAAATGACACTCAACACATAGTATATTTCATTTAGCTGGTAGGATGGTTTGTCTAAGGGTTCCTGGTCACATGGAAGGGAGAACACCTAATCGATGTGACAGATCACYCCATTGGGGAGTGACCAGACCYGGAAGAAAGTGTTTATAGATGACTTGATGTTTGGGATCATGGCCATTCTGCTGAATAAAGTCTGTGAATGGTCCCAGCGCTGGTATTTGTATGGCTTTACTTCTTACAGTTAACATTCAAGTCTATATCCTGTATTTGCTTCCTTGTCCTCAACACATATCGGAGTAAATTAACATGCAATATTTTTTCAACGTGATATAAAAGAGAACACCATGGGTAGTGTGTGGCCACGCAAACTTACTCCATCTAAAGGCTAGACRGTCTCATTTAACAGCCGTTGGATTCAGCCTGCCAAGACTTTGAATGGCATGTCTATGTGGGCTGCAACCCCTAAATTGTGACACAACCTGACACGCAACAAAAAACCCTGCAATAAAGTTGTTTGACTGTTGCAATTTAGAGAATAAAAGAGCAAAGAATCATGATACACTCTTATGTAATGTAGCTATTGTTTCCTTCACAAACGCTGAAAAAGAGTTCATTCAGGAACATCAGAGGCCAGTCGACAGAGTCGACACTTCCTCATGGGAAGTCCAGGTTTAATGTGTGAGCCTCCTCCTTCATCTTAAACACTTTCCCTCTCACACACACGTGCTCATAAACACATGTTTTTGCCCTTTGTCGGCCGGGTGGAATTAACACCGTGCAACCTTTGCCAGAAAGTCAACACCCTTTGGCTCGCACGCCAGCTTCAGATGCAACACAAAAGTCTGGATAACACTCAGRCGAAAAAACACATTCCACCTCTGATTTAGTTGTATAACACAAACACCGTTTTGTAGCGAGTTGTTAGGATTGATTTTCTTTTTACCATCAGGCAGACTCATTATCTCAGTCCTTAGGTGGATGAAAGGAAAGAAGACCTCAACACACAGGAAGTACTCCTGATAGAAGCCGTTTCAAAAGAGGTCAGTCTTTCCTAAAACCCGAAGTCCCTTCTGTGAATCTAAAAGCTATCTCTTTGTAATTTGGMTGAACGTACAACTCTCAGCACAAGTCCTTTAGTCTATCGAGCCGTCGCTGATTTGAAGTTCCACCCAACGCACAGCAGAGGTGTTCATATAAAAGGATTATTTATCAGATGCTGAAACAACCGATCASCTCGGCTGTCTGACACCCTCCAAACAATACCAGATGGCTCAACTTAAAAAGAAAGAGATTGTGTTGTGTTCTGCTGACACAGAGCTYGATATGGAAACTGAGTTTGATGCAATTTTGATGCAGATTTTATTGATATAACTGTACAAAATGGGAAAAACTAAGGAATAAACGAGTGATTTGAGGGGTCCTGATGTACACAAATCGATAAAAAGAAGCAAATTAAGGATGTTGTCTATTTGAGTCAGCTTAAACATCAGCTGCGTTTGCTTTTCAACATGTTTCCTTCATTATTTGCGTCTGTTTTGTACCAATAAGTAGAACATTAATAGATCTAGACATCATTTCCCTCTCAGCTGTGATTTGTTATGGCTTCTTCAAATTGAACTAACATGTTGCTGTTTTTATTTACTATGTTGGCACTATTTTAAATAAACACGTGTTGGTAAAAAATTAACTTGCATTAGTGTCTTTGACAATGAACTGAAATGCCATTATTATTATTTTTCCATTATTTTTTTGTTTCTGTCCCAATTTTCAATTGTACACTCTTCTAGTAGCTTTAAAACACAAAAGAAAAAGTGCATCAAAACATGCAGCTCAGTCTGAAATAATGTGTAACAAGTTTTGAAGATGGTACAGTACATTATATGGTGTTGATTAAATTAACAACAAAAAGTTCCTGTAAAAAAGGGGAATTCTGTCAAAAAAACAAGAAAACCCAGCCTGCTTTGGAGCTCACAGTTGAAATATTTAGTCATAGTTTACAAGGTGGAAGAAACATGGACATCACATGACTGAACAGTTTTTTTTACACATCACAGATCAGCTTTTATAGTTTTTGGTTCAGCTCAGATTGCCATGAAGTCACACAGTGACTTTTTGAGCTGCTTTAACTTTCCCAGTTGTTTTGCGAACTTTCCTTCCTGCCACAAATTTAACACTTCTCATTGAGTTTCTACATCAAAGCATTTTTGTCTGCTTTCACTCAGTGTTGCCTCTCGTCACTGCAGGAYTCAAGGCTCAGTTATAGTCGTACTTATGCAGGGCTGCTGCTGACGGCACATGGACCAGAGCATGGGGTGCATGTGTTTAAATTTAACACTTACACTGGTGCAGGATGCTCCGAAAGGACATGTGGCATTACACTTTACAACATGTGAAATGATGTAAAAAGAAGAACAACTCTTGACAAACTATTTGAGTAGACCGGGCACAGAGTTACAAAACTTTGGAGGTACWTGACTAAGTGCCACATCATCGTGTAGGGCCAGCACAATGGGGTGGGGTCATCACAGTTGTGTTACTGTTTGTGTGTGCATCCTTGCACTGTGTTCAATGTGTCGATTATAAACCTCTCTTTATGGTTATCTCCCAATTTCTTCCACAGTTTATATATTATATAATAGCAAAATTTGTCCGTCCAAGTTCTGGCCCACACAATGCACTAACACTTAGCCCAAGATACCATGAAGAATTAGTGGCCTAGATGTGGTTTGCCAGACGTGGTCCATGCATGGGCCAGCACCATATAAACCAAATCACAAGTGGGCCAGCTGTGGCACTGATAGATTTGGGCCATACAAACCAAACTACAAGTGGGCCAGTTTTGGCTTTGACGGATTTGGGCCAAACAAACGAAACTACAAGTGGGCCAGTTGTGGCATTGATGGATTTGGGCCGTTCAGAAAAAAACTACAAGTGGGCCAGTTGTGGCAGTGATGGATTTGGGCTGTACAGAACAAACTACAAGTGGGCCAGTTGTGGCAGTGATGGATTTGGGCCGTACAGAACAAACTACAAGTGGGCCAGTTGTGGCATTGATGGGTTTGGGCCATGTAGTCCAAACTACAAGTGGGCCAGTGGTGGCATTGATGGGTTTAGGGTGTACAGATCAAACTACAAGTGGGCCAGTTGTGGCATTGATGGGTTTGGGCCATGCAGACCAAACTACAAGTGGGCCAGTGGTGGCATTGTTGGATTTGGGCCATATAGACCAAACTACAAGTGGGCCAGTTGCGGCACTGACTGATTTGGGCCACAAAAAATCTAAATGTACATGTGACTATCAGACTCTTCTGCCACTTATGGTACAAGAATTGTCTTAAAGCAACTTGTAATTTTTGCAGTGTGACTGTTTGAAGCTTTGCCTTATTAAAAAGCATTATCAGGAAAGAAGAGGCAGGTGTGTGTGTGGTTACCATAATCAGCCACTGGTAGCAACTTTAACATTTCTTTTGACTTTGTTATATTTAACACGTTGTATACAGTTACTACATTTAAATCTCAACATTTTTTCAGCTTAGATTATAACAAAATGGAGTGCCAAATTACATGTTAGAGAAAAAAGTTTTTATTTATTGCTCATTTAAAGCAGAAGCTGCATTGGTAACCTTTGACTTTTCTTCAGAAATGTTCTAGTTTATGACACTAAGCACATGTAATAATAACTAAACCTAAAGTATGTTGGTGAATGTCCTGTAAAATTTGGAAATTAAATTTCATCTTCATTTTTCTGAAACTTGGTTTGCCTCACCTTGAGAGCTGGTGTCTCTGAGAGTCAGGTGGGCCGACGGCCTCTGGGCCGCAGAGCTCATGAACTTTGAGTTGTTGAAAGTGCGAGGCATCGTTCTCGCCTCTGAGGGAGAGAAAAGATCAGGAAAAAGTCACAACTGAAGCTGTAAATCAAAAAGTGTGTTTGTCTGGAGAAGAATTTTACTCACCGATGAAGGTTTGTTTGGAGATGATGTTCTCCGTCACCTGAAATGAGATGTGAACACGAAGGTTAGTGAAAATCTGACATACAGGAAGGTCTCTATGCTCTAAACTTTCAACAGTAACACTTTTGTCTTTAAACTACTTGCAGTAAAAACTATATTCTGTGGCCTTAAAAACCCACAGCTTTTAGACTTACGTCTCTTTTCTTCTTTTTTAACAAAGAAGCTGTAATTTTTATACCAGACTGTCTGGCAGACAGAACTAACACTTTATTACAGAAAAATACTAATTTTTTTGAAGCTGTCATTTTGAGCGTTAAACTTTAATACAAGGCAAGGCAGTTTTATTTGCATAGGAAGGGCTTAAAGCTTTAAACAATTTAAAACATTTGACCGTGCAAAATATTAAT